GTCGTCTCCACACCAATCAACAGTTCTGGGTGTCACTCGGGACTCCGGGTCATATTCGCTGTACTTGCTTTGGAAGTCGCTACTCACCACCCAGACTTTACCTTCCGCTGTGATAAGTGCGACAAATCGCCCCGTTGGTGAGACGCTCGCATGCTTGAACGGTCCATTCTGGAGGACTTTGTCTTCCGCCTCTGTGGGGTCGACCAAGTAGACGGTCTTGTCAACAGCCAACAGAACTTCGACTGAACGGGAGAGCGTGTACGCCGGGGGTATCAAGGACCAGGATGATACCTCTCCTTCTGGACAAGGGGCCAAGAGCCGGGGACGAGGCTCGTCGTAATTTGACACGGCCACGAGCTGATTGTTCGAAAGCAAAGCCACAAATCCGGAAGTCCAGAACCGGCAACCCCTTACACCGTATTCCTCAGCCTCCTGGACCGAAGTCAGGGTTGAACACAGCTCAGACCATCGACGCTGGGGAGACTCACATTGCCGAGAGAAAAGGAAGTAAAATCGCCATGGAGCCCAAAGTAACGTCGGACAGTTCCATCTTCAGTAATGACCAAGAGCTCCTCTCTATCAGACCATCCAAGACCCCGGATCGTGCCAAATTCCCACTGTGGGAAGAATTAGGGAAGTTCGGCCCCTGGTCCAGAGAAGGGAGGGATGCTTACATTCAGACGGTTGATTAGCTTTCCGGAGCACGAATAGATGTCAATACTCGACTTGGTGGTTTGAGCATCACGGAAGCGATACGGCTTGCTTTCATCGCGGTGCAGTGCTGTTGAGGGTCAATGAATGCATGATAAGTATGGAGTCGTGGTTCACGGCAGCAAGACATGTCCTTACCGATAGCTCCTCCATATGGAGCGCCAGCGATGATGTAGTTCTCCAATTCGATGTCTTCATCGAAGATGGCATCATAAATGGGAACCTTGCGATAGAAACTATCACCCAGTCTCTCCCAATTGGCCAAAGGATTAGAAGGTGCCATTGACAGCGTGGTCAAGAGACTGAGGACAGTCCGAGAGAGTGACAACAATGAACAATGCAATGAATGATGTTCAACGTCGGGGGTCCTTCCGGGAAAGCAGCCGCAGTCGGGCGGGCAAAGCTGCTAACCCGATTGGGTTATGCAACTAAGTAACCGACAACTGGTCAAGTTGGCTCCATCGACGCATCCCAGGCTGCCTCAGGCTCTGAATACACACTTACTTCTCCCTCCCCTAAACCATTAAGATGCTGCAGCCATGATGCCTGCGCATGCGAAGTGCGATGGATCATAACGTGGAGATCCGCAATCTAGCATTGGAGTTATCCGACCTGGAGGTCGCTCTGTTTCTATGTCTTGCAGTCCATGAGCATTGTCGAGTCGAGACGGCCGACACCAATGTCCATGACGTTGCTAAAGAGCTCGCCCTGGTGAAAGCCAAACTGCTCTCCATTCTCAGGCCCTTTGACTAATGTGCAAGGCACCAGATCTGCCCCACCACCTTTGGACTGACTCAGGTTATCGTCGACTGTTCCTACGCGACCACGTTTGACACATTCCTCTCAGAAATATCTACACCGCAGAGCGGGAATGGTCGGACAAAACCGTCAAGGTCTCCTGGACAAACGTTCCAGATCCCCAATGTCATCATAGCGAAGAACTTCAACCACGTCGGAGATGAGATCCAGCGCTCAGTGCTCGAGGTCAGCCAAGACCAATTGCTACTTACCACAACTAGTTCTCTATCTAACGTTCAATTCCATTAGTTGATGCGCTCGAAGCGACTGTCCCTGCAGACTGGGACCTGGGAGGCACCAACAGACTTCCTCTTTGTGCCGTTGATAGCGCGCCCGGGGGAACGAGACCAACCCTCATTGAATTCTCATTTGGTTTGGCATCCCTACCATCCCGTACCTGTCTCTCTTCACTGCTAGCTAATGCGAACCCAGAATGACCACCTCTTCATCTCCCACTACCAGGACCCCGAGGACGGCTACGTCTATCTCGAGGAAGACACCGACTGGCTCTCAGAGGGACAAGTATCTGCATCCTCGGTGATCCGCAAGTCCGAAGCCCAACCGGAAAAGGGTCATCCACACATAGATCGTGAGGTATGTTCATTCCCGCCCCCACCCCACCAGGAATTCAAGTTGACGCGGAAACTCGCAGCTATTGGACAAACTCCAGCGATCCAGCGAAGCTGTCGCCGTAGGGGCAGACATCACCCGCTACCAGCAAGATATTGTTGTCTTTCTGCGGCTCAGTCGCGCAGTGGCCGGTGGCATCTCCACGCGTTCGAACCTGCATTTCAAGGCGTTCTCCAGGTTGGTGCTTCTCCCCGTTGCCTGTCACAATAGCACGAGGAAGGATATCCCGGTCTGACTGTCATCTCGGCAGGTTACTTGCCGTCTTGCATGGCCTGGACTTCGTCACCCCCTCGATTGTAGCGTTAGCGGCGAAAAAGGTCTTCCGTCATCGGATCGTTATGGCCAGGCCCGCGGACGACCGAAGCTTGCAGTATGGGAGTGACCTGGGGGCCGTGGCCAAGGTGCTAGAGTATGCCGACCCTGATACGATTTTGGAAGGTGTACTTACGTTAGAGGCGCCATTGTGATTCTCCTGAGCGGTGTCCTCTCCCTGGGTGTTCGATAAGAGTCATGAATGTCACTAAGATGTAGAATGAATGGTCTTCTGGTCGATGTAATCGCTATGGTTGTCGCTGATTCCTTTTTCTTCAAACTAGGCTGGGTGTTGACTTTGTCTCCGCTTCTGAATCTCGTATTCAATATCATATAACATAAATTCATAGATGTACACATATGTTATGTACTGTACGTGGCTTCAAATGGCTTATGTGCGTCACTCGTCGCCAGAACCCAACAGAATCACACAAAAAGAAACCTTGTACTACCCACAACTCCCAACGAGAGAGAAGTTTCTGCCAGCAAGCCCCCGCTCGATCCTATCCTTCCCCCCCTGCGATACACCCACCCAAACTCAACCCTCAACATTATAAGTCCGGAGTACTCTATCCTGCGGCACTCATGACCGCATCTCTCCGTAAGAACATTTCAGGCAGGACAAACACGGTGATCCCAGCATCGCTGCCAGCCCGGGTGTCAGTTCCAACGACATCGTTCGATCTTTCGACGTCAAGAAAAGCCATGGTCTTGCGCCACTCGTCCAAGACGACGTCGACCTCGGTCTTGGCGTCTCCAACGATGGCGTCCATCTTGATGTCGTTGCGATCATACCCGAACGGATCCTCGAGCTGCGAGCCGATGCCTTCGATGCCGTACAGCGTGAAGATCACCAGGCTGACCATCGGGATGGTCCACCAGCCCATGTCGTCGACCATGCCGAAGGGGAGAACGCAGCCGAACAGGGCGAGGACCTGTTTCTGATGGATTCTGGATGTGCAAGAAGACCATGAATCAGTAGAGGAAGTGAAAACAAGAGGTGTTCTTGATTGGAGACAGGCGGCATGGAAGTACCATCCGGAAGAGAGTTTTAAGGTAGAACTCACAGGTGTGCAACGGGGATAGGCGTGAGCTTGATCGTCTCCATCCGGCCATAGGCGTCGGTCAGTGTGTTCAGCTGCGCCTGCATCTGACTTGCCCCGGGGGCATGGAACCAGCCGCGCTCGACCCCGCGCTTGATGAACTGATCCACGAAAAAAGTCAGCTGATAGGGGAGCCCCAGCCCTGCGTCCTCATGGCCCTCCAGTCCCGCGGGCAAGAGGCTGGCATAGTCCGGATTGAAATCCGTGACCCCATTCTCCGCGACGTCATTGCCCAAAGCCCAGGCGGCGCCCCACTCGGCGCGGAGATGGTTCTTGACGGCAAACGGGATGGCCATCAGGATGCGGACCGTCCGCTCGATGTCCTGCTTCTCTGCCGTCGTTGGGGCGCCCCGGGGGCTGTACCCATTCGTGATGATGGTCCGCACCAGGTTCCGGACACAGGTGTTGATGGTATTCATGCCATTGCGCCCATCCCAGAATCGGTTGTAGGATGTCTGGTTGCGGAAGACTAACATGAGGCCGACCACAATGGACAGAGATGGGATCTGTCGTTGATCTTCGTTGGTATCGTAGCGATGATCTGCGGCCCGCTTTGATTGCAGGACACGAACAATGAAAGAGAAAGATGACTCACGATGCTACTCGGAAGGCCGACGGTGTCAAAGACATCCTTGTCTAACCATACCACGAAAGCTGTAAACAAAGCGTGCAGGAAGACTGGCACTAGAATGGCTGCATGGATAGCGCCTTTGATGAACCGGAACACGAGAGGCCATCTGGAATCACGGTCAATATGAGCAAAAGAGGAAGAAGAAGAAGAAGAAGGAGAAGGAGAAGAAAAAGATCGAATACGGGCCTTCTTGGTTTGTGCCTGGTGGACAAAAGGTGGGGATGGGTTCCATGGCGATAATGATGAGCATTGTTGAGAAACATGGTATTCCGACGGCTCAAGGCCGGTGTGGACGGATTGCTGAGACTCAACCGCATATTGCCCCTGCAATATACGAATGCACGGTGATTTACCGGAAGCTCCTTATGCTGTGGCTTTGTTTTCTTGTTTTCTGATGTCAAGGAGGGGAAGAAGAGAATGAACAAAGAGCGGTCTGCAACCAGGGAATTGTTTAGGCTGATCTGGATCTTATCAGATAACAAAACAACAACCCACCGCACATCAACTCCACAGTCTTTCTTCACTATCAGTCTACCTCCGCCAAAGTAGGGACAGAATAAAGGCATCAAAGCGTGCAACACTTCTTTACCCCAGAAACTTAGTAGCAATGTGGATTTCGGAATTTATCTCTCAATCTATGGCCTCTACATGGCAAGATCGGACTGACCGATTGTATCGCCTCGCGTTTTACATGCATATAAATTGACCTCTGCAACCCCCTCTCTTGAGGTTCAATCTCACTTCCACAACAGCACTTCGATAGCCGACATTTATCCGTGGTTACTTTGTAGTCACTACCAAGAGTTATCAGCTACTACTACTACTACTATCTCTCTATCGTGTTGAAACCTCATCGTTCAAGATGTCCTCCATCTACGGCACTTACAAAGGATGGTATCTCCCGGGATTCGAATCGGACGAGTCACTGGAGCACAAAAAGATCGAGCAGCAGATGGACGAAACGGAGACATCTGCTTCGAACAAAGAAGCCTACGCATTCAAATACACCGGGCAGACTGTGGACAAAGCGTTCGTTGGGAAGGTGACGCAGCTTCTGGTGGGCAATGGAATCCCCAACTTTCTCTTCGGTGACATGATGTTCCGTTTCTTTGGATGTGAGACTGACGTGCTCAGCATCAATATCTCGATTCCGGATGAGCTCATGGACGAGGCGGTCCGAGTCTTGCGCCAGGCAGGCTTTTACGACGGTCCCGTTGAGCCCTTCGAAGTCGAGGAAGCCCAGTGTGTCCAGGAGTTCCAGATTCGCCAGGAGCAGCAGCCTTTCCTGGCCTGGGGGTGCCGATATCTTGATGACCACGAGTACCACCGAAATGTTGGAGCTTGGTGGCTGCCTACGCATGTGTTCCATCTCAATCAAACGCCTGGCAAGCTAGGTCACGTTGATCTCAGCCTCTTCACACACTCGCACTACTTCTGGGACCTACCGGCTCCTACACTGGCTCCCGATGAGGATGCCCGAAGCTCCTACGTTCTGTCCACGGACCGCCGTCTTCCAGAACCGGTCTGCTTTGGGCCCAGTCGCCATGCGGTCAAGATGATCTCACCTGCGCGCCTAGTTGAGGCTCTGATCCTCCTCGCCTACCGAGATATACATGTACCGTCGCAGATAACGTTCAGCGACTGGCACGACGACCTTTTCGTGATCTTCAAGATGGTCAGCGGATGGGAATGGCCCGAGGACGACCCTACCTTCGATGGTTACAGCCAGTTCACCGAAGCCGAACCCCATGGGTGGCAGTTTTCCTTGGACGGCCAGCGCCTTCGCATGCGAAGCAAGGTGACGGGTTTGGATCCGAGATGGCTCCGACTGGCAGCCTTTCAGCCACTGTTTCAGAAATATTTCGAAGATCTGTTCGAGACCGTGCTCCTACCCCGCGAATCCTACCTACGCACGCCGTCACCTGAGAACACACTGAGCGAAGAGGAACAAAGAAAGGAATTTGCAGAATGGGACAAGTTGTTGATCGAGAACGAAGAGGAACTCGCAGAATGGGAGAAGCGGATTCAGGAGGATCAGCCCGCCGTTGACGATGCATACGAGGCATGTGACAAAATGCCCGATGTTGATTGGGAAGAAGCAGGAGAGAGGGCCTTCGAAGCGGAAGACAGCGCCTATCAGATCCGGTGCCTGAGGGCTGGCAGGGTCATGGTGGGACCTGGAGTACTGGAATCTCGCGACGGCAAGGTCATGGACGATTTCGCTCGGCGTCTGGCAGAGGCGTGGCTCTTGCCCGAGAGCCCTTTCGATGCATTCAATCCCAAGATCAAGCGCCTCGAACCTGATGTGCCAACCACCTGGACTTTGCGGGACGAATTTCGGTAAACAGTCCCCCGGTCTACCGTTGTTCGTTGTTCGTGGGCAGTGTTCCACTTTTCTTAACGTATAACTCGTGATTTGAAATCAATAACATTTGTACTACGTGATAACGGTTTTTCTTCGCTTTCTTGGTTTTTCATTTTTGCCCTTTCATCTAGACGGTCAGTCGGAACCTGGATTACTCAATCAACATCGTGCATGATGAACGGATGGAAATGACACGCCGAAATCATCATAGATGATAGTAGAACTTGAATTAAGACACAACTCCCACTTCGCTGAGATAGGCTCCGAACTGACAATCCCCCGATCCTTGAAGTATCCTCACCCCACCCACCCCCTTCTCATTAGCCACCATTTCCGGGATTCAATCAAATCTCGAGCTACTGATAAAGGACAGATCAATCATGTTCCAAGAAGCAAGGGGGCGACGAGTTCCCAAGTAACGGCTATTATAGCGGACGCTCCGGCCTCCTCAATGCATGTCCAATTTCGCCTTCAGCTCTTTTCCGCCCTCGGGGCCTCTCCAGCTCAGAAGATCTTGGAATTTACCGAGACAGGAGAATAGAACCCGTTTGTGGTAGGCCGTCCATCGAAGTCGATCTCCCCCACGTCCCCGCGCACCCTGCTGAGCATTCCTGTGATGTGCAGCGATGACACCGAGTAGAGCCTCGACCTCCCTTGCGATCGTTTGGCTGGTTTCGCCGGGGAGCAAGCACCTCTGCGTACACCGAGCAATCATGATTATAAGCGCTGTCTCCACAGATGTGTATGGAAGCGCTTGGTGCATGCGGATTTGGTTTGCTCGCTGCATCTCTCCGAATATCTGTGTTAGGAGCGGGCGATCGAGGTAGTGGGTATCCCGTGAGTTTGGTCGAGGCCTTCTGAAGAAATGGAATTTAATTTCCGTCTGCTGGTATCTCAACTGGTCGTTCTCAAGGTGAAACTCGGTTGGCCGTAATCGTGCCAATTGTCGCTTGAGGTTCGAATGCACGTCTTGGGGATTGTTGTTGGCATTACCTCCCCTATCCTCGACAAGGAATTCCACTGCGTACTGCTGCGAGGGCCGTTAATGAAGGGTGGCCGTGTACGAATGACGGCTGTATCGGAGTCCGGGCTTACATCATTTTCCTGAAATCTCCTGAGAAGAGGGTCAAGTCTTTGCGCGATACTGGGGAGTTGGCGACCAATGGCCAGATGCCCGATGATGATTAGGTTGGAATCCCATCTACGAGGGTCCGCTCGAATACACCTAAGCACGTGTTTAGCCACCCTTTCAAGATTGTCAACGCTCATGATAGTGGTTTGAATAAATAGGCACTGCTTGATTGAGGATGACAACAAGATTGCAAATCAAGATGATGTTTAGCACGATAAAGGACTGGGAAAGCAGCATCCGGGACTTTATACCCTGAGATTCTTGGAGGAAAAAAAAAAACATGGGAGACCAGACTCTGGCCGGATACATCGGCCTTCGATGCCTGCGCTCTGCTTCAATGAATGTCTGACGCAATCCCAGTGCTGGCATGGCTTACTGACCGTGCAGAAGTGCCGTAAGTTGGCCGTTTGCTGCAGCATCCGAGACATAGGCCCAAGTCTTTGATACCCATCCATCGCCCGATCCTGACGACAACCGGAAGAAGCAAACGGATATTCGGCGTTCCCCTGCTTCAGGCGCAATGTGATTGGATATGGCGGAGTCGGCAAGATCACTGAAAGTATTCATTCCATGTAGTGGCTCTTTACCCCGCCCAAAAAGGGATTCTTGAGTAGTTGGAAGGCACCGGTGTGTGTCTCATCCAGCGCATGGTGGTCTCCACTATACCGTTTTTGCCGTTTCTAGAGACCGGACCATGGTCAGAGACTGTTATCAGACTAACTGAAGACTAGTACTACCTGCTTACCTGTATGTTTCATCTTGCTTCTATGGATGATAGCAAAGAGTATGTTGACTGGCTTGGACCGAGGCAATGTCCAAAAGGCTGGACACCACACCGCTAGCAACCCGAGACTAAGGCGATACACGAGAAACTCTGTAGAAGAGACAGTTTGGGAAGTGAATTTGAGTGTGTGGTAGGTATTTGCTGGGCTCTGTTTTCGTTGGCCGTGATCAGTTCGGGATTATCGGGCGTTGAGAGACAGATGATCGCAGGAAGCAACAAGCATACCAGACTTCGCGGTTCCGTTTGGCTTAGGAGCCACCCATCAGGTTTTCGAGCTCCCTAGGATTGGCAGATCCCGGTCTAAACTGGTCGGAGTATACCCTTCGCCATCGTGTTCCGGATATCCTAGGGAGCCATGTCACACTTGAAGACGCATGTCTCTATTCAGTCGTGCTGGTGGCTGGGAGCGAGCTCGAGATGAGCGTTGAACAAGATCTCGCTGGTTTCAAAGTGATTTGCCTGATTGATGTTCAAGCCTTTGGCGTTGGATGTTTCATGTGTTGTCCTGTGATACATACTTCTGAAAGCGTTTGTCGAGGCATCCCAAGATGCGGTGAGTGGACTTTGGCGAACACTTCTGGTTGAACATGCGAGAACACAAAGAAGAAGAGACGAAAGAAGACAAAGGCGAGGGAAAAGAACCAAGGAAGAATCGAAGAGAGTCTGTAGGGCATTTACATGACGAGCCCTGGTGCCTTGAATCCATCTCTGCAGCTCTGGCCTAGGCAATTTGCTGTTAAAGGCCTGCTGTGAACATCTTTGTTGGCGGAGTTGGATCTGTCCTTCTTGGGGATCTGCATGGAGGATGTTGTGTGTCTAGATTGAACATGTGTGACTACAACCAGCAGTAGAAGTCGAATGAATAGTGTCCTCTCAACCAGGACAATGAAGCTTCTGATTGCGCTTCCTGCCAGAAGTCCCAGTTGAGGTAATCGGTCAAAGTGAGAAGTAACACATGGTTCATCAATTGCCGTCCAGTCCGCCTTTGGACCACCATGATGAGATCTCGTCACTTTCCTGAGTGGTTTGATGATCTTGCATCATGCTGCCAACGAGGGAAACTGGCTGTCGTTGGGTCAGAGCAATCAGTGATGTAAGCAGGCAAGGTGATGACTATGGGATGCCTGTAGGACATGAATTCATGATCGACAAGTGTATTGTACATACTCGTTATGTAGTCAAGGGATAACTTATAATTAGAATTGCTTGTGGTTTGATGAAGATCTTCAGGATGACCTATGGTTCCGTGGTGAAGGCTCGGAGAGTGGCCGTTGAGGGAGGGTCGGACGGACTGCCAGGGAATGACTAAGCCTTCCTCCAGGCTGGATGGAGCTGAGCCAGAGACGCCTTGCCTGATTTAGATTTCCAGATGAAGCTTGTACGGATCGGGGAAGGGGCAATGGAGCGGCTTCCCGCAGCATCAGCCAATCAGTGTGTGCCCCCCGCAAATGCCAGACCTCTCGCACCAATCACCAGACTCAATAAATACGCCGCCGACATCAAGGGCCGGCTGGGCTGAAGTCATGATCGGCGATGCGCAACCGGCTTTTTGATGGCCAGCCCTGCCTTACTACTAGTACTAGTACTAGTTATACTCATACTACGAGTACGTAGTGAGAATTGACCTTTTGGTCCCTTACTATGCTAACCTTGAAGCTGCCAGGTGCTGTCTCCTACGCACCCTACCTAGTTTAAGCTGTCCCTGCCCCACACGTAATTGCTCCAGATTCCCAGACGTATGGTGCCCAGACCAGATACTCCATCTCGACTGGACAGACGGATACCCCCTCCCCCCTTTCCCGCGGCGGGTCGAGGCTTGCCTGAAGTGTAGACATGCAAAACTGCCTGGCGTCGACCAGAACCTGCCGATCTAGGGCTGACCATCGATTAGCACATCACGACGTCATGTCCTCGCCGGCCTCGGGTGAATTCACAAGTCAAACAAACAGTTGTACCAAGGCTCGATTCGTAAAGGTGGTGCGTGGTATTCACCAGCCTAACTTACTAACTACGTAGCCTTACGTCATATGTCCTGTCCACTTCGTTTCTCCCCCCCAGGCAACAAGCTATATAATCCTCCCAAATTCAGCTCCAATCCATCTCCAGAACATCTTCAATTAGCTAACTATCACAACAAACACCACAACGAAAGCAACATCCAACAAACACCAACCACATTCCTCTACATCACTTCTCTACATCTATCAACTGAAATCATCCATCATGTCGAACATCATCCACAAGGTCAAGGACGTGGTCACCGGTCACCACCACGAGAACAAGACCGAGAACACTTCCTCCGACAACCACGGTCCTCACAACTCCAAGATGGCCAACAAGCTGGATCCTCGCGTCGACAGTGATGCTGGTAAGTAGACAGCAAAGCTTTTCGGAGAAAGACTTCCTGCTAACATGCCATTCTCAAGACAACCGTGCTCGCCACGAGGCCATGGGCGGTGCCCAGGGCCCTCACGAGTCCAACATGGCCAACAAGGCTGACCCTCGCGTCGACTCTGACCGTGACCACCGCGCTCACCCCACTTCCACTACCACCGGAGCCGGCTACGGTGGCAGCACCACTGCTGGTGGCTACAGCGGCAGCACCAACGCTGGTCCTCACAGCTCCAACATGGCTAACAAGGCCGACCCCCGTGTTGACTCTGACCGCGACAACCGTGCACGCCACGAAGCCCTGGGCGGAGCTCAGGGCCCTCACTCCTCCAGTATGGCCAACAAGATGGACCCTCGCGTCGACTCTGACCGTGACCACCGCGCTCACCCCACTTCCACTACCACCGGAGCCGGCTACGGTGGCAGCACCACTGCTGGTGGCTACAGCGGCAGCACCAACGCTGGTCCTCACAGCTCCAACATGGCTAACAAGGCCGACCCCCGTGTTGACTCTGACCGCGACAACCGTGCACGCCACGAAGCCCTCGGCGGCGCCCAGGGCCCCCACTCTTCCAGCATGGCCAACAAGATGGACCCCCGCGTCGACTCGGACCGTGACAACCGTGCTGCTCACCACCACTCCACCACTTCGACCGGCGCTGCCTACGGCGGAGCCCCCACCGGTCCCGGCGCCTACGGGTCCTCCACCGGTGCCGCAGGCTACGGTGCCGGCCCGACCACCTCCACCACCACCACCGGCTTCGGCGGCGGCAGCACCAACGCCGGCCCTCACAGCTCCAACATGATGAACAAGGCCGACCCTCGCATAGACTCCGACCTCGACAACCGCGCCCGTCACCAGGGTATGGCCAGCAGCAGCTACAACACCGGAGCCACCGCCGGCCCCCACCGCTCTGACATGGCCAACAAGATGGATCCCCGCGTGGACTCCGACTTGGACAACCGTGGCACCCTTGGTACTCAGCGTGGGTTCTAAGTTGGTCCAGCAAGAGAGACACTTAGAGAGATGCAAAGACCTAAAGAAGAGGAAATGTTGGGGAAAAGTTGAAGAAATCGCTTTATCTCTCGGTCCCTTCATTTGTCTTCTCACCTAATGATGCTGTTATGACCCGTTGATATGCCTGCCTACGTGCGCTTGCTTTTGTGACCCCCTTGTCGCTCTTGTTTGATACCAAGCAAGTTTAATGATGCTCCCTCTGTTTCTCTTTCCTTACCATGTACTTTACCAAGATTGATATGCTATCAACTGAATGAACTATCCAAGATACAAAAAATAAGGTTTTGTTTCGTTCGTAGTAGTTTCATCGACGGAGTTCTAAGTAAGTGGTTCTGAATCATCTCCGAATAAGCCCGAACCCACACCCTTGGTAAATGGTAAATAAGGTAGATATTACTAGGCAGGTATTAGACGCCACGCCCCCTTCCCCCTCCCCCTCCCCGTCCTCTCGCCCATCGCAAATTCCAAGATTCCAGGATACTGGATGTGGTATGTATGCATGATTTCATCCCCCTCAAACCCTAGTCGTATTCAATATGGCATGCAATACAGGTTGAAATCAGGTAGGTGGGGTTTAGGGTTCACGCAACAGCTTATTAACCTCCCCCCCCCGCCTCCTACTCGTATTATTCATTGCTGCGTGGCATTGCTCCTGTCGCGAGCAGAGTGGAGTTCACTGATCCTGATCGTGCTGTCTGGACTGATGCTTCCTTTTTAATAGTGAAGGGTGGAGGGGTGGGGTGGAGAGGAACTGAGCGCGGGGATGCACAGACCAAAGGTCACACACACTTATCAATACTCAATGTCTCCCTCCGTAAGCAGGTCCTGTAGAATAGATGCAGAGATCGAAACTCAAGACAGAACGTCAAGTTATACGGGAACTTGGGGAATGAAGTACTGTACTGTGCTGTGCTGTGGATGGCTAGGATTCAGGAGTTGGTGGGTGGTGTGGCATTTTGCGGGTAAAGGTAAGACCTGCGGTTCGGTTAGTCCACCAGGCGACTGGCGCCCTTTTCTTGCATATGTCTTTAGATCGGGACTGGGTGGGCCATGGGTAGATGCATCATGCGCGTCAGAGAGATTATCTCGCTCCTCTGCAGATGAACGGGTGAAACTGGTTCTTTGTTGGGGTGACTGAGACATGTTACGCAGACTTTGTGCGGCCTACCAACACACCTTATTTCAACGATGAGTGGAAGATGAACTCAATATGCAGGCGTTTCAACTACCGGACGAGTATGTATGTACACTTTCACCATGAACACCCACACAAATTAGAGGAATTAGAGAGACAACAAATGATCCGGCTCCGGGTAATCCTTCTGAATGCACGTGGTCTTCGAGACTTGGAGCGAAGCAAGATAGCTCGATCATCGGCCGTTCCAGAGGATACCGTTCTCAAGGTCGGATTGGAAAAGTAAAAGAAAGGGTTGCTTCAGAATGGGTATAAGTCATATCAACGGGGTGGACCGCAATGCTCGATGCTTAGGCTGAAAAGAAGAGAAAAACATGATGGACGATGATGATGAGAACGACGAGGATGACAGTGGCTTGAACGGAAATGCAAACGGAAAATGAAAGAGCGCGACAGCTGCGATAATGGCCGTGATCACAACAAATGCAAATTTCGCTAGAGCAAAGGGTTCGCTCAATGCAGAACAAATCCCCCGAAACGCAGCGTGGCGGGAATTAGGCTAGGGCATTGCAGCCCGGCCGTCGAGGGCCAACGGGCCCGAATCATTCAACGGCGTCAGAGGGTTCTCGTCCGACGACTCAGAGCGCACGGGCGTTTCAGCACGCAATTGAGCCGGGCGAGTTTGAGCGGACGAGGGCGACTGGGTCAACGACTGCCAGCCGGGAACTTCATTGTTGGCATTGGACGGGACAGAATCAGGATTCGATGTAGGCGCCCGCGGCTGGGAGGAATTATCATCCGACGCATCTAAATCTTGAAGCCGCATATTCTCAATATTGGCGGCTAGTCCTGCCTCGACGGGAAGTCGAGTCTCGGGGTGACGCTCATCACCAGAAGACCGCGAGGGTTGTGTGATAGCGTTGGGGTCCGGTTGAGGGGTATGTGTCTCCGACCGAGCGGGTTCCAGGGCGTCGGGCTTATCTTCCGCAGAAGCGGATTTCGATTCCTCTTGCTCCTCAAAGTCGTTGGTATCGTCTACTTCCGCACTTAAATCGGTGTAGGCACGGCAGTTGGGGCATTGGAACATGGGATAGTCGGGTGTATGGATCAGGCGGCTGACACATTTGTAGTGCCAGACGTGGGCACACGCGGCCATGAAGAGGCACTGGTAAGGGCGCTTCAAACCTTGTTAGCGATGGCAATTCCAGATGAAGACGTTGATAACCTACTAGAACAGATCCCAGGCAGATGGAGCATTCTCGACATCCAGAGTAATCCGCGGCGTCCCCCTTTCCAAGATTCTTGATAAGATTTTCGGTGTTTTTGCTATTTCTCCGTCAGCTTCACTCGAATCACATGGGTCACTCTAAGCATCTTCACATACTTGAATTCATTGGGCTGCTGCTGCCAGGACCGATTGCATTCGATCCGTATGCGGACACAGCGAAAGATCATTTCCTCGCCACCGCGGAAGTCAATCCCCAACTGCACAATATCCCCATCCTTGATGGTATAAAGTCGGGAGGCGATGTTCGGCTGGCTCAGTCGCATGTGGTTGAGAAAGGTGCCGGACGAACTGCCGACATCCTTGACATGCCACTGTCCGTTCAGATACATGAACTCGCAGTGTTTGCGACTCACGACCTTTGACTTGAACCCGACAGGGGCATCGGAAGGCTCTGTGGGGTTGGCCACGGGCGTGCCATCCCGCTCCGAGTATCGCCCAACACGAATAACACAACTATCGGATGGTAATGTGCGAGAGATTGGGATGAAAGGCAATGAAGGGCGGCTGCTGGCGTGCGAGTCTTGGTGGGGAAAGAAACGGATGGTGGCTTTTTGTTTCGGTCGCGGGGACGAAGTACACGGGCTTTCGGACACGACTGGATCGGGACTCTCAAGGATGTTCCCTGCGCTCGACACCTCCCCGTTAGGCCTCGCCTCGACGGCCTGTGATGAACCTCGGGGTCGCGCCATGATTTCCTGTGTCTGGTTCCCAGTGGCAGTGGCCGTCTCGTTGCGAAGAGGGGGGTTGGACGATTCTGTAGGGGATGGCTGGGAGCGCAAGTCGAGCTCGAGGCCACGGTAGCTGGGGGAAAAAACCGAGCTATAGCGGGCGAACGTGGACTGATATTCACTTTCGGGACATGGGGCCCGGGTGGTTGTCCCCACTGTCGAGGTCGAAGAATCGGGTCCGGTGGAGGCGGCTGAAAACCAAGAAACTCGACTACCGAGAGTATGACGACGCGAAACCCGCTGGCTGTTGGTGGACGAGGAGGAAGAGGAGGCGACACTGGGTTGCTGTTGTTGTTGTGGTTGTTGAGGAGGGGAAGAAAAATGGAGTTGAGTGTAGGCACGCAGTTGACTAAGGCGACGGAGAGGACGTAAACGAGAGTCGGAGGAGGGAAGAGGAGAGGGAGAGGAGGGGAGGAGGTTGGAGGAGGGAGAGGCGGAGGCGGAAACGGAAACAGAAGACATTGGAGAGGGGGGGTGGTGGTTTTAGTAACAAAAGGTGGTGGTCACGGATTTCTTGTTGGTCGGGCTGGGCTGCACTGGGTCCGGCGGGAGGACTGACAAGATAGTAATAATCATTCAATCATTTAATCAATCACCAGTCCGAAAGAAGAGAAACGAGCATGTGTGCGTGTGTGCGTGTGTGTGTATGCAGTATATATATGTTTGTTCCAAGAAACAAAGCGAACAACAACAGCAACAACAAAGCACAGTTATCAATGGCAATGAACAAGAGATCCTCCCGATCGATCCCTGGGCATTGGATGGAGCGGCCAAAACTGGATCTCGTGCGATCAGCGCGACAGCCCTAAATTGGGATCTTCTGCGCCAGTCAGTGGTTCCGATCGGTTCGGTGAATGAATGCGCTTCTCGAAGATGATATCTATGCTCCAATGCGACACGCGGAAGAGCGCAAGGAAAGGGAGGGGAAGGAGGAGAAAGAAAGAGAGAGAGAGAGAGAGAGAGAGCGCGAGCGAGAGAGAAGGAGAGAAAAGAAAGTCAGGAGAGCGAGAACAGACAAGGAGAAGAACAAGAACAGGACCAGAACCGGGCAATAATGAATGATTGATTAAATGATTGAATGAAACTGGAATGCCGGAAAGAGATGGCCACCATGCGAGTCAAATGGTAAGATCGACTGCCAGTGGGGCGAGTGGAATGTAGACTATGGACTATGGGCTAATGTGTACGGGCGCAGAGAGGTGAGAGGCAGGGAGAGGAAGACGATGAAGATGAAATAGATTCATCGCACCATTTGGATGAGTTTCAACCCCTCTCTTCATCCCGTCCTAGAAGATCCATGGAACTTAGTACCTACTTCGTACACTGACTGCTCTGGGTTCGCCAACCCAAGAACTACTCGCTGCTACTCGAGTAAGTTGACTACTTCTTACCTCACTCCTGAAGTTCAAAGGACCACCCAAAGGACCATCTGTTCGGAGGATTTCCCCTTGGACGCGTCAATGGATACCTTAGTTCCTGCACACCCAGCAAAGATCCACCGATTGAATCCTCAAACATTGCCCAACGGAGTATTTCCATGGGCTCCATTTCTTTGGGTGAGAACCACTGAATCCGAAAGAAAGTCTTGGCCTTGACCGCCACAGCTCGCTTCATTCCTACCAGGCACGGATGCGGCAAGCCACGCAGGGAGAAGCTACGAGTTATCAGTGGAGGTGGTGAAGTGATAGACGTCTGATTACAGCAGTGGCCCAGAATCTCAGGCTGGATTAGCTTTGCGGGGGAGGAACTGAGCGCAAGCTACCTGCCTCTGCTTGTTCGCCTCTCGGTCCGGTCACGGGCGCGGCCCTCCATGTGATGCAGCCATCGGCCGGGATCGTCTCACGTGGAAGCGCAGCACACGCCTGTCCATTGGCGATCATCGAGGGTCGCGCGGGGGGTGGACTGGCATCCCTCTGGCTGGTGCTGGGAGACATCCTTAGTGGGGTTGATTACCGTGGAGGGTAGACAGAGTATCAACTAGATGGAGACGACAAACCGGGGTGGCTTGGTCGGTTGATCACCTCGACAGCTGCGTCCCGTCTATCTCGTTGAGACCATCCAATAGTTCAGACGTTTTTAGGCATGGGAATAAACAATGCAATGCGAGACATATATGAGTGCGCGCCCCGCTGGTATGAGAGCAAGCGTCTCGGCTGCAACCACCCGAACAATATATATATGTGATGATGGGGGCACCAGCTGGGTCATCCACCATCTGTCTGGTGATTGATCATGTTGCAACCCTTCGGGTGAACTCAGGTTGCTGTATAGAACTTCACCGTCTGAACATCGTGCGAAATAGGTTTCACCGCAACTCGGACTAGTCGAGCTGGTCGACCGCGAAGAATGTCAACCCAAGACCAGTGGCGCAATTGGCCCTGGGTACTGGGTAGTAGTGATCATGGAGTGAACCGTTAGCTTCCGAGGTGGAACCGGGGCAAAGCTGTCCCCATGATAACGAGGGAATCGGTGAAGGACGAGGAGGGTTCGATTGGTTCGCTTGAAGGAAGAGGACGTTTTCGCCGCGCATAGAATTGGTAGAGACTTTGACTATCACTTAGTGAACCATAAGAGCCATAATAAGGGTGGTTTTGAATTGAGTTGCGATTAAAAGATCAACCCAGCAAGAAGCGGTGGGAGAAGGAAGGAAGACAGAAAGAAAGAAAGAAAGAAGAGATGACGAGATGACGATGACGGAGAGAGGGAAAGATAAACAATAGTCAGACCCTGCTATAACAAAGTCACAAAGTAGTACGTAATTCGGTCTCCGTAGAAGTTGGGGAACCTGGAACTTGAAATCGTCTGGTCAATTGGATGGATATATTCATGGATATAATCATGGATAGTGCAGTATCATTGCAGTTGCAGGTGGTTGTTACTGAGTACTCCGTACTCTGTACTGAGTAATACTTGTAGACTGATTGTAAAGCCGACCGGTGGAGCTTTCTCAGACTGGCAGATGATGGAGTGCGCACTGCGTACTCTTGCCTGCTTACTGTAATTGCCTGCTTGCTTTGCTTTGCTTAGCTTCCTACCAACCTCCACTATCGTAATGTAACTACCACACAGTACTCCGTACCTTAGCTAGTCACCTACTGCTAACTTACAACTGCTGCTCCTCCTCCTCTCTTTCCCTTCCCCATTCCCAAAGCTCTCTCTCTCTCTCTCCCTCCCCCAACTCCCTTCTCCCCCCTCCCCATTTCTCTCCCTCTCCTCATCCCCCCTCCCTCTTCTCTTCGATCATTGAATCCGATCTTCTCCCTCACCATCCTCTTGACTGATCGGGCCACTTTTCCATGTCCGTATAAAAGCGACCGCTGGACTAGTAGGGAACATAGGGATAGGGACAAAGAAACTTGGACACTTCTGCTCTCTCATCAACCTCCCCATCCGCCGCTTTCTCTATCTAAAAGCGGTGCTCACTAACCGAACTTGACCATCCATCCTGCCGCCTCGCAATCTCCCAGCCGCTAGTATCAGCAGAGCCTCCCCCCCCGGCCCCTTCTTTGTTGTTCTATCGCCCATTCGATCCTTCCTCCTTCATCCTATCGATCCCCGATCGTGAATCTCTATTGCGAGCTATTCTTGTCCATACAAGTATACCGCCTTGTTCGTGCTTGATGCAACAAGGAAAGCAACAAGGAAGCAAGAATACCCAGACGAGTGGCTCTCCCTCAGTCTACGATCGTACTTAGGCGTCCTATCGCCATTTGTCGTCCTTGAAGTCATTGCTTGCGGGGCCTCTTCCTGGTCCTGCGGGCTTCTACAACTAAAGACATGAGTGGAATTACGAGCGCTTGTTTGTCCTGCTTATCGACAGTGGACCGTTGGTGCCATATCTCGGCATGCCTCGGTCCGATCGGTGGTCGCTCTAGGGATGGGATTTATGAATCCACTTTGGCAGACAATGAACGCGAAGCAGTCTCTGACTTACTGCAGTTTCTCGATGCGGTAAGCTCCGTCCTCTCTCACGCCGTCAACTTATCTCTGGGGGATCACTCACACATGTACGGCAGCAACAACGTCAAGAGATCGATTTCTTCAATGGCGAGCCTCTTCGGGCTTTGAGCACTTTGGTGTATTCCGACAATGTAGAACTTCAGCGAAGTGCAAGTTTGACCTTTGCTGAGGTCACAGAGCGAGGTACGTACGACGCGCATAGAACTGATTACGGCAAGGAGCTGACGGCTGAGTTACCCGATCATAGATGTACGCGAAGTCGATCGGGACACTCTCGAGCCTATCCTTTTCTTACTGCAGAGCTCCGACATCGAAGTGCAACGGGCGGCCAGTGCAGCACTGGGAAACTTGGCTGTGAACGGTAGGCCCTTCCCTTCCCTTCCTCAACAATCGCGGTTGCTGATTCGGTCCAGCGGAGAACAAGGTCTCGATCGTCGCGTTGGGAGGTCTGGCTCCTCTAATACGGCAGATGATGTCCCCTAATGTCGAGGTCCAATGTAATGCGGTTGGTTGTATCACGAACCTGGCTACCCATGAGGATAACAAGGCGAAAATTGCCCGCTCCGGCGCATTGGGCCCATTGATCCGGCTGGCGAAATCGAAGGACATGCGAGTACAGCGTAATGCGACTGGCGCGCTGCTGAATATGACACACTCGGGTCAGACACCTCACTACAACAGCGACAGCCCAACCTCGCTAACAGAATGCGCAGATGACAACCGACAACAACTCGTCAACGCAGGCGCCATTCCTGTTCTGGTCCAATTGCTATCCTCCTCCGATGTTGATGTACAATATTACTGCACTACTGCCTTGAGCAATATCGCCGTCGACTCGTCGAACCGCAAGCGACTAGCGCAGACCGAGTCTCGATTGGTCCAGTCGCTTGTGCATCTCATGGATTCCTCGACACCAAAGGTCCAATGCCAAGCTGCTCTGGCACTGCGCAACCTGGCTTCTGATGAAAAATACCAGCTTGAGATTGTGCGCGCGAAGGGACTTTCGCCGCTTTTACGACTCTTGCAGTCCTCTTACCTGCCCCTGATCCTCTCCGCCGTCGCATGCATTCGCAACATCTCCATACACCCCCTCAACGAATCTCCCATCATCGACGCGGGATTCCTCAAACCTCTGGTCGATCTGCTCGGCTCGACCGACAATGAGGAGATACAATGTCACGCCATCTCGACGCTGCGGAATTTGGCGGCAAGCTCTGACCGTAACAAGGAGCTCGTCCTTCAGGCTGGAGCGGTTCAAAAGTGCAAGGACTTGGTTCTTCGTGTCCCTCTTAGCGTACAATCTGAGATGACGGCTGCGATCGCTGTGCTGGCCCTCAGCGACGAATTGAAGCCTCATCTTCTGAACCTTGGCGTCTTTGATGTTTTGATCCCTCTCACCGAGTCGGAGAGCATTGAGGTGCAAGGAAACAGTGCCGCAGCCCTGGGCAATCTCTCATCCAAAGGTATGTGAGCCGCTAGCCTACGGGCCTCATCATACGGATTATGTAGACTGACGTGCGATAGTGGGAGATTATTCGATTTTCGTGCGCGACTGGGCGGATCCTAACGGTGGCATTCACGGCTACCTGAGCCGGTTTCTGGCAAGCGGCGACCCGACATTCCAGCACATCGCTATCTGGACTTTGCTACAACTTCTCGAATCTGATGACCAGAGATTGATCGGGTACATTGCCAAATCGGATGATATTGTTCAGATGGTCAAGTCGATCTCTGATAAGAACATCGAATCTGACGAAGAAGATGCAGATGAGGGTGAAGGCGAGGTCATTGCGCTGGCACGGCGATGCCTCGAGTTCCTGGGGAGTGGTCACAAGCAGACCCTTGTAGAAGGCTAATTTAATTTCGTCTTTTCGAGCGCTGACGCCGGTTTTCGAAGCTCACTACTTCTGTCTTCTTTTTTCTACCTGATAATCATTCGATTCTTCCCCGTGTCTTCTGTCTTACCTACTATACCTTGAGTGTCCCTGTTATGTGGATGTTTTGCTACAATGACCTATATCTGTCACAGGTGTTAAGCGAGCATATGATTCGGTGTCACTTATCTATTATTTTATCATGTCAGCGAGCATTAGGTGTGAGTGATGAAACTGATTTGTTTTTGTTGGGAAATGTGACCTGCAGTTGCTCCTGGGTCACATACGAGTCATCTGCGACTAACGCTGTATTTACTATGTACTTAAGAGCAGATCTCGATCGTATCATTTATCCACAGTTGATTTGTTTAGCTTTTTATCATTAACGATCTTGGAGCGATGATGTCATGTGTGAATGCTCGTATCTTCCTGTGTTTGTTCTGTATGTCCATCCATAGCTGAGCGGGGAAAGAGTTTCTCCCGTCCGGAGCTCCGCCAAACTGAAAAAAGTAGTCAAGCTCTGCGGCGGTTCATCATTCCACTCCTGCCGAACAACACATAGCCTCCCCTTCTACCATTCATTCTTCAGCTGCATCAGTTGCTTCTCGGTCCGAATGGCGAGCACACTACCAACTTTGGCCATTCCAGGCCAGCGCCTGGCCCCTGTGAGCTCTTACGCCGCGGGCCCCGGTACTCATGTGCAGAATGCGAACATCTACGCCTCAATCGCCGGTCCCGTTCTCGTCAACCCCGCCAGCTCCAAAACCGCCAAGTCCACCCTGAGCGTTTCTCGCAGCCCCCTCCGCAAAGCTGCTCCTGCTGCCTCTCCGTCCGCACCAAAGTCCACCGCTCCTGGCCCCTCCAAACCACGGTACAACACCCTCCCCGCCGTCGACTCGATTGTGCTCGCGCGCGTGACGCGCGTGCAGAAGCGACAGGCCACGGTCTCCATCCTCGTCGTGCTCGACGAGTCAGCCAGCAACAATAAGTCGGGGCCGCAGCCCACCACCACGACGACAACCCCCACCGGCGGTTCCTCGGACAACGACAACATCGAAGCGATCCTCTCCTCTGCCGCCAATCCGGAGAACCACAGCAACTCGGATGAGCTGCGGTTCCAGGCGCTCATCCGCAAGGAGGACGTCCGGGCCGTCGAGAAGGACCGCGTGGTCATGGACGAGATGTTCCGCGTGGGCGACATCGTGCGCGGAACCGTGATCTCCCTGGGCGACCAGAGCTTCTATTACCTCACGACGGCGCGCAACGACCTCGGGGTGGTGATGGCGCGCAGCGAGGCGGGCAATATGATGTTCCCTGTTAGTTGGAAGGAGATGCGGGATCCTGTCACGGGAGCTGCGGAGCTGAGGAAGGTTGCGCGGCCTTTTTGAGGCTCCTGCGTGATTGTTTGACGATGATTATGATTATGATAATGATGAAGTCGATGGAGTGGTGGATGGCTGGATGGGGTGGGACTGCGACAAAGGGACGCTCGGCTTGGCTGAGTCTTGAGCTTTCTGGGTGCAGGTGCACCAAGCCCGTCTGTCTGTCCGCATTTCATCTTGTCTTGTCTTGTCTTGCCTTCCGGAATAGTCCCATGAATGAGTCCGCCTCAAACCATACCAACTCCTCTTCCCGAGGGTTCGGCTACCGGCTACAGTACAGCGCTTTGCTGGTCTCAGCTGGGGGTGGAAACTCCTGGAACTGGGGGATGCCTCTTGTTTCGCGTGAGCATGGCTGGGGGCTGGTTATGTGACATGGATGGGAAAGTTTGTTCGAGAAGGAAGTCTCTAGTCGCAGGCACAATCACTCTATTCCTGCTGGCATGCGGACTCCCGGTGTCCGGACCTGCACAACGTGCTCCAGGCTGGCGGTTTGCGCCGTCTCAAGCTTGTTACGCAACACCGGTATCGTTGAGACTGGTGTCGCAGGGACTTGGAATGTCATTGCTGGCACTCTCGAGCGGCGGGTAGGATGGGCAGGAATCCACACGACTGTACATATGGCAGTGCACCTTGCACCAAGCGACTCCGCTCAGGGCAAGTCCAAACCTGGTGGAATCGAGGCTTCTTGCATTAGGATTGAATCTAGAATAGAGTATATCTGAATCAATCGAAGTTTTAGCCGCTCTTCCCGTTTTTGCGGAGATAGATACCATTCGTTTATCATTAATTCGATATTCTGATGCTTGGGGAATTGACACTAAAGTTGATGATGGTTTCAGCACGCACTTTTTGCTTCACTGGATTACTGAGTAGAATAGAACTATCTGCCATTCGGACACTAGAAATCAAAGCACTGATCGATGACGTGCACATATCAGCAGTATACAAGACCTCCTAGGGCAGCGTAGCGCTCTCCCATCTTTATATTCCAAGCTTCTGTTGGCATGATTACGCCAACCACCGAGCGACCCGATCGTATCATACTATTTGAACAACAACAACAACACAAAGCACCAACCCTTAAAGACACTCTCATTTCTAAAACTATACACAGCAACCCCCCCCC